CCATCAGAATTCAGAGCAGGTTCAGTGTCTTGGCTTTGTACCAAAAGGAGACCACTGATCCATCTAGCAATATGCAAGAAAGTTCCATGTAAACAAAAAAAGTCCAGAAAGAAATACCTGAAAAGTTCCACTAAAAAATGATACATCTTCATTAGCTAAATTCCAAATTCCTAAGAACATTCAGATGACAGTGAAGACTAGAGGCTGATGCAAGTTTCATTTGAGCAGCCAGTTTCCAGATTCAGCAACTTCATTTCTGTTTTATTCCTGTGGCTAATCACATGCAAAAACACTCAGAAGCACAGATAGGTGATAATTTATCAAGTGAACAACAGGGCTATACAATAGGCATGCTTACTCAGTCTTAAATAAAAACCCAAACTAGGTCATGTTTCATCATTGCTTTTAAACCACTCTTTTTTCACAATCTTTAATTGCAAGAGTGTGAAGATACATTAGATCTGGGATAATTTAAATCAGGAGATGTATTTTGTCCTCTTGGGGAAAAAAATGGATATGATTTGGCAAAGGAGTAAATGAGTCATGAACAACAAAACAAACTGTTTTAACGCCTGAATTTGTCATTAGCCCTAAGACGAGCTGTTTGTCAGGGACCAATAACAAAAAATATCAGGTTTAAAATCAGTGGAAAATTAAGCACATTAACTCCAAGAATCAATCATGCTGATGCGCCCTTCTCATTTGGCAGTGAGTCCATCAAACTGAGGATAGTCAAGAGTTAAAGAGATCATCACAGAATAGTAAGAGCATTTTATTCACTGTTATATGGTATGAACTGTATAATCAGATAGGTAAAGGCTTTATTTTTTCCAAGTTGTATTTTTCTTTAAATATCCAAATTCCTATATAAAGATGACTGTATTTTACAGTTTGGTCTCATCTTTTAAAATTATTTTTTTAAAGAGCAAATTCTGTAGAGTGATTATATTAAGAGGATTGTTGGACACTTGAAGGTCTTTCATCCACAATATCCCTCAAGAACCCTTAGGTTAAGTCAAAGGCTCAGAACTAGGGGCTATTCTGCTTCCTGGGAGACCTGTGGCAATGTCTGGGAACATTGTTGGTTGTCACAACTCAGGGGGACATTACTGGCATCTAGTGGGTAGAGGTCAAGAGATGTTGCTAAAAATTCTACAAGGCACCAGACAGCCCCACACAACACAGAGTTATCCAGTTTAGAAGGTCAAGATTGGCACAGCTTAATAGGGATTTCCCTGGGAGATCCAGTGGTTAAGACTCTGCATTCCCAGTGCAGGGAGCATGGTTGGATCCCTGGTCTGGAAACTAAGATCCGGCATAAAAAAAATTTTTTTAAAAACTCTTACTACCTCAAAAGGCAGCTGCCTTATTATAAACCAAATCTACCTCAGTGATCTCTTTGACATTCAAAATATCCCTTCCAAATGAACTTTTCAGTTCCTGATTTACCTCCACTAGAGACTGGCCAGTTGGTGGCCAAAAAGAGAAGAAAGGAAAAAAAAAAAAGTAGCTAAGTATGGAGAACATTCTAAATTCTTCCTCAATGTCTCCTTATTTTAATTGAACAAAAATTTAAAGGGATAATATTTTTTTCTGTCAACAATGGAGCCTGATAGCCCAATGAACATTCATAGTGGCCAAATACAAGAAAAAAATCAACCTGTTTTCAAAAAGAGTTGACATTTGGGAAATAAAAGCAGACATGGTATTTCCTACAACTAAGGCTGAAATAATGTGGGAAGGACTCTTTCCATAGAAATAGGAGGCAATGGTTAAGTGTTGCCTTGTGTCCCCAGGTTAGTGGGCCTGATCTCTGGCTCTGATCTGACACCCAAAGGATTCCTTAAATGCTTAAAAAGTTATTTTCAGTTCTTAGGGACAAAGAGGGAATTTTTCTGGAACTAACCTAAACACACAGCAATGCTAAACTGGGTAGCAGGATTTTTCTAATCTCAGAAAAAAAAAAGAGTGTTGTTTAAATCCACTGTTCCTCTGGCACCACGGCCAATAAGCAAAGGGAAAAAGAAAACTCTTGCATTGCCTTGGGAGAAGTTAAATGTAGACTAAAAGGGAGAGTAAAACCCAAGTAAAACGACCATAGATCAAGCATCACTTGCCTGAGGAGGCAAATGCTAACACTTAACCCAATACAAAAATATTGCACTTAATTAGCTTGTTTGGACATTATTAAACACACCAAGCCAAACAGTATTCCATAATTTGGTATGTTCGTAAGTGTCCATCAAGATAACTTCCTGAGGTTAGATTTAATTATGTTGGAATTAAGAGCCTTTTCCTTTGCAGACAAATACTTTAGAGATTAATTAAAGAATATTATTTGAATGTAAACTAATATGCATTCCTTTATCCAGCTGCACAAAAACTATAAAGTGATATTTTTCTCTTTTTCATGAAAGCAGAATGATATGAAATCAAATTAGACCTTCAAATCTGGAAGTGAAAGACAAATTTCTTCTTTGACTCCAATTAACGTATTCCAACCAACATTTACACAAGAGAATTTGATCCACATACTACTGTGGTGAGTTTCACAAAGAATCCTCGTTTTGTGTGAGTACATGCCATACTTTTAACATTAAAAATAAAGATGTCTTATATTTACTCTCACTTTAGCTACTAAGTCTACATACACTGCAGTATATACTATGTGCATGTGTATGTGCCATGTCACTTCAGTCGTGTCCAACTCATTGCAACCCTATAAACTGTACCCTGCCAGGCTACTCTATATAATACCACTAAGTATGTATGCTTAATAAACTTCTAGGGATAAAAACATATTTAGGCATTTTTATATTTATGTAATTCATGGCCAATTTAAACTCAGATAATGAATTTAACAGGAATAAAAAATTTCCTGTTTTACTGACCACAGTTGCTTCTTTACTCCACCTTTAGAATTTAAAACAAAGACACAGATTTTTAATGGTGTTTGTGCTGAAAAATGTGGGGGCCTTTTCTGTTCCCAACCCATAACTTCTTATAAGAACGGTGCAGATTCCAGACCATGCAGACTCAACGCTTACAATCTAAAGGATGATCTTTCTCAGTCAATTTTGCAACCCATCAAAGAAGATTCTAGTTCTCCAGTAAGGCACCTCCCATTTACTTATACCTATTTTGAGACTGTTGGTTAAAACACTGCTCCTAAACAATTTGTTAAACATGTGATAGATGTTTCTCCAATACTAACATAGGTCGATTTTGGAAGCAAATCAGATTGCAATAAATGTATTTGAAGCTTGGTAATATGGGTCAGAGAAAGAAAGATGTAACCTCCTTGAAACACATTAAAGGCAGCAATTTAATAAATACTTGTTTCTCCCTTGGACACACACTTTTTAATCAAATTGTTAGTTGAAAACTATAATAAATATGCTAAAATATATCTAATTAGAAGAAAGTCAATCTAGTTTATTTGGCGGGTGAGAATGCATACTCAGTGTCATATATTCTTCTATCCTGAGAACGCTCATTTTCTTGTGGTAAATGCTACATAGATCAATGTGATCATATAAAAGAAAACACAAGGGAAATTTGTGTAAATAAGCAAATCATTAACAAGCAATAAATGATATCAGTCCCAACTGGACTGACTCTAAAAGACAGTATTTAAGTATTGTGTCATACTTAAAGAAGTAGAGATATTCCCATACTTCCAAGTGAAAAACACAAGCATCTTATATACTTAAACATTTGAAGCAACCTATAGTTGTAGTGTATTTTCTTGAGCTCCAAAATCACTGCAGATGGTGGATGAAATTAAAAGACACTTGATCCTTGGAAGAAAAGCTATGACACACCTAGACAGCATATTAAAAAGCAGATACATTACTTGGCCAACAAAGGTCCATCTAGTCAAAGCTATGGTTTTTCCAGTAGTCATGTATGGATGCGAGAGTTGGACCATGAAGAAAACTGAGTGCCGAAGAATTGATGCTTTTGAACTGTGGTGTTGGACAAGACTTTTGAGAGTCCCTTGGACTGCAAGGAGATCAAACCAGTCCATCCTAAAAGAAATCAGTCCTGAATATTCATTGGAAGGACTGATGTGAAGCTGAAGTTCCAATACTTTGGCCACCTGATGTGAAAAACTGACTCATTGGAAATGACTCTGATGCTGGGAAAGATTGAAGGCAGGAAGAGAAGGGGACAACAGAGGATGAGATGGTTGGATGGCATCACCAACTTGATGGACATGAGTTTGAGCAGGCTCCAGGAGTTGTTGATGCACAGGGAAGCCTGGCATGCTGCAGTCAATGGGGTCGCAAAGAGTCGGACACGACTGAGCGACTGAACTGAACTGAACTGAATAGTTGTAGTTCACAGCAGAAAGTCTTTTTCTCACCACTTCCTGAAATGAAGAAATCAAATTCATTTTCTTCCTGGCTTTCCACATCCTCCGTAAACTCAACATATTCTAATGCTCTGAGAATATTTTCTACCTTACTAGGTATTCATTTTACATTCATTCAAAAATGAGTCAAAGAAAAAAAACTTCTGCCACGATAGGATTACCTAACTTTTCTCTTTTATGGTCTCCCAGTGGAATGGAAAAGAATATAGCTGTTATGATTCTTGAGTTGTTTTTGACGTACTTGGCTATGAGCTCACCTGAGAGTCAGCTAGAAATTCTAGTCAATTTAAAACAAAAAGCTAGTTTGAATCCTGCGTCCACAATCATTGAGTCCCAGCCTTCAATGTCCCTGATGTGTGCACTAGTGCATTTGCTTCAGAAAATAAATGTTCAAACAAAACTGTTGAAGAGCAGCATGAAACACCTAGGATAATGTAAAGGAGTTCTCGGTCACATAACAATTAACAGACCAGTTCAACTAGCGTCCCAAACCACCAGCCGCTTATGGAACGTGCTCACTTCGAGTCTGGTCAGTGCCTCCAGCCGTCAAAGCTCTTCTCACAAGCCAAGCAAGTGGTTCCAAAGTGCCTCGTCTATATAGTCTTACTGATTGGGCACTAGATTAAAAATGTGTGCTGTTGACATAATGTGAGTCCTCCTGAGGTTTGCCAAGAGCTTGTCCATGATCCTCCAAAGAGACTTCAATAGCCACTTCAGTAGTCTGCAGTCTACCAAGGCCATCACTCTGGGACATGTCCAGTGGGGGACAGCCATTGTGCTCCGCACAGCCATTGACATGGGCCAGTGGCAGGGCCCCAGGGGGACAGCACAACTGCTTGGCACAGCTCTTGGCGACGCAGGGGAAGCTGCAGAGCAACTGCAAGTCCTTCTGCTCCAAGGCTTCCTTCAGGTCCGCCTTCTCAAACTGGATGGTCACATTGTGGATTCCGGCATTGTGGAAGATTTCTCGAATTTTTCTGGTGGCATCCTGATCTCCCCCATCCTGCTGATACTTGATGTGCAGAGTGGCAATGATCTTCCCACTTATAAGTTCCCAGATGTGGACTTCATGGACACTGCTAATTCCAGGCACAGCAGAGAGCTTACTCACTAGAATAAGGAAGAGAAAACAATAGCCAGGGTGAGGGCTGTAATTGGACATGGAACCACTGTGGGACAGGTAGGGTCCCTTTATGCCTTCTCACCAGCATGATGTCATTATTAAGAATAAAGAAAGGAAATAGCTGTATCTATATGAGCACATTTTCCCATAATCTTCTTCTTCCTCTCTTGAGTTCCTCCAACATACAGGGTTAGCCCATAAAAGGCAATTCAAGAAAATAAGTTTCACAACAGCCCTCCCAAAATGCCCAGGCTGTTGAGTGTACAAGGCATTAAGTGCTCTGATGGACTGGCATGGGAATACAAAATAGGATGCCTTTTTAAAAGGGAATTTGGCAATATAGATCAAAAACTTTTAGCAGCAATTCTAATACTAGGAACTTAACTGAAAGGAAACAACCAAATCTTTACATATGAGAATGGTTTGGGCAATACTTTTTGTGTTAATGAAAAAAAAAATGGAAACAGCAAGGAAATAGCTAGCCAATTATGTGACAGGTGGTGACATAGTTGTAAAAAAGCAAACTGCATATTTAAGGATATGAGGAAAGGTTTATAAGGTATTTTTAAGTGAAAAAGCCAATAGCTGGACTGTATATGTGGCATGATCTTTTCCCCTTTTTTTAATGAAACGGTGTATATACACATACAAAAACTTTTAGACAGATAAAGTCTTGTTTCAGTGAATAACTGACACAAAAATATTGAGTGTTAATTTCTGGGTGGTAGGATTATGAGAGATTCCTATTTTCTTATTTAGGCTCTTCTATATTTTTCATACTTTCTAGCATTTAGAAACATGGTATTGAACAGTGAATCCAAGCAACCTATAGCCAGCTAGTCTGAATCCCAGTTTAGTCATTTACTACCTACAGGACCTGCATGACCTTACCCAGTCCCTCTGTGCCTCAGTTTCCTTATCCAGAAATTAAGATAATCACAGTACCTCGTAGGATTATTTTAAGATTAAAATGAGTTAATATAAGCAAAGCACCTGGACAATATTACTTAGCATGTAATCAGTGCCGTTAAAATGTTGCTATTGTTATTACAATCTAATTTTAATATTAATATCTGCTTTATATGTATATACATACACATGTGTATGTGTGAAAGTCGCTCAGTCACGTCCAACTCTTTGCGACCCCATAGACTACACAGTCCATGGTATTCTGCAGGCCAGAATACTGGAATGGGTAGCCTTTCCCTTCTCCAGGGATATATACAGACACATATACATATATATATACACACACACATATATATATAACTTTGTTAAAAGGCAATAAAAGAATATATATCATAAATTGCCATTGGGTTGGCCAAAAGTTCGTTCAGGTTTTTCCAAGAGATGTTATGGAAGAACCCCAAAGAACTTTTTGGTCAACCCAATATAGGTTTCTTTTGCTTTATCCATGAGGAAACAAGCCCCTGGAAAGAGCCTCCTTCACCTCTGTCCGCCCCAGCCTGCAGCACTGCATGAAGATTAGGCATACAGAACAGTCACACTGTAAATCATGCCTCTGGAGGGAAAGCCTAGCCATGGCAATACAGTGTATTAAGACCCATCAAATCTAATTTCAGCTAGTTGTTATGAAATAAGGTCTTCCAATTCTCAGCCACATAGTGGGCCTGGGCTTTAGTTCATGTTCACTGTCTCACTGATGAAGTAATGATAGAAAAATAGCAAAGATTCATGAAAAAAAATTGTTTTCCTATAAAAACATTCTTTCTATTTAGAAACACTAGAACTAAAGCTGTACATTCAGTTTCTCACCAACACCTGGAGAGCTCCCATTTAGACATTCTACAAGATCTCTAAAAATGTTATTCTCAGATGCACATAAAGTAAAGTGAGAGCTTGACCTTCTGTTTGAGCAAAGCAAAGAAACATATTTCACTACTGAATGAATGGATTGAAACATGATCCATTTTCCTGTGTTTTAAGACACACACTGACTTGCATGCCCACAAAAATCAACTAACTAGAAAGCAGGATCTAGAATATGAAGGAATGATTCATTGTTTCAGAATAGGGGGAATAAAAATCAAGTCCTGGGCAGAGTGGCCTTATCTGAGTTAGAATAAATCCCTGACATGAAGGTCAATAAATAGCCCAGGAATATTAATAAGGACTGCCCAAGGAACATATTCTCAAAAACTCGTGGTAAGTTCAGAGAACGATGGGCTAAAAAGGACCTCTGGTTCTCAGAGCTGCGAGTCATCTTAGTAGCTGAAGTCATCTACGAAACATAGAAGGATGTCTCAATTGCATAGTGATTTAAAATATTTCAAGATACATAAATCAAACACTGCTCTGAAATAATGCTGGCGCTTTGGCCTAAAGAACATTCAGTGGGCAGCAGTTTGAGATCAGAATGGCATGACTTACTCAGCTCTTCCATGTTGACACCTTTGGGGACCATCTGCAGCAGAATGGCAGCGGTCTCCTTGATGAGTGGGAAGGCAGATGATAAAATGATGATGACCATGACGACAGTCAGGCTGGGGTCAATGTAGCACTGCCAGTTACATGGGTCCTCACGTTTCAGGGGAAGCACATAGAATATGATGGCCGTGATCACCACCACCACTGACCCCAGGGCATCCCCCATCACGTGCAAAAGTACCCCTGCGGGGAAGAAAGAAAGACCAATCAAGCCCAGATCCACGTCTGGGAGCCATGTGACACTCAGTGACTTGGCTTCCCAGCTCTATGAATACCTGTTGCTACTTTTTTTCCTGTTCTGTTAGAACAGCAGGCTGGATTAGAAAGCAAACACAATGACCACTGCATCACAGAAAAACAAAGCCCCAGACCACCATCCCATGACCCAGAGAACCCGGAATAGCCTAGGAAGATTCTGAGCTGCAAACACCTGCAGGAAGACAGACTGGGTTAGTTCAAAGTGCCACATTCCCTTCCTTAAATGCATTTGCCTACTTTTCACTTAGCCTGTGGTCACTTAGACTGCATTGGGTATAAGAGATCCTCCAGAATGTCCCCACTAAAGAACTCTTTATCTCGATAAAATAACATTTAAATTCTACAGATAATAACAAAAATTAGGGTTGCCTTTACTTAAGGGAACCACTTTGAAAAGCTTTAATTATGATACAGAAAACATGTCATCCCAGCAAAGAAGATCTAAGTGTCCAATCGTTTGCTGGACACCGACTAAATAAACTGTGCTTAGTCACTCAGTCTATCTGACTCTTTGCGACCCCATGGACTACAGCCTTCCAGGCACCTCTGTCCATGGGGATTCTCCAGGCAAGAAAACCAGAGTAGGCTGCCATACTCTCCTCCAGAGGATCTTCCCAACCCAGGGATCGAACCCAGGTCTCCCACATTGCAGGTGGATTCTTTACCATCTGAGCCACCAGGGAAGCCCAGACTAAATTGGAATTTAGTGAATTAGGTGAAGATTTGTCAGAAAGATTATACAGCATAATCATAACATTTTTGGGGGGTTTTTTAAATTTTTTTCTTTTCTGTACATCAGAATCTCTCTCTTCAAAGTATGGTTGGCAGCTTCAGCATCACCTAGAAGCTCGTGAGACATACAGAATCTCAGGCCCCACTTCCAATCTTTTGAGTCCAATTCTGCATTTTAATAAAATCCCCAGGTGATTCAAGTGCAGATAAAAATTTTCAAAGCGCTTCTCTAGAAGAAAGCATATGAACTAAGAAAGATCTGCTCTGTCTCTCTAGGTATCCCAGATTCACTCAATAGAATTAATAATGATCTAAAATACTAACAAACTCACTCATGACTGCGACTGAATCGTTCCACTTAGAAGAGGCTAACTCTTCCTCTCGGCAGCTTCTGAGTAGCATCATGGAGTCAAATGACATTTTTAAAACATACCAAATGTAAATTGTGGCAACTTCTCCCCCACCAAAGAAGTACAAGAATAAAGGGAATCCCCACATCTCCTTCATGCTGACTGTTTACTAATGGTAATAGGATCCTGATTCAATAAATACATTAAATAGTACGATTTTTTAATTCTGTGCCCACTCTGTCCACCCCACCCCCACAGGAGTGTCTTACTTCCCAGTCCCAGTCCTCAGCCACCAAGAAAAACTCAAAATGTTCCCAAGAGTTGGTCTCGAGAAGAAACTGAAGATCAAAGCTTTAACTTACCCCAGGGCAGTACAAAACACTACCATAAAAATATGAAGACGAATTATTGCCTTTATGCACTCAACGTCATTTTCACTGCCTGAGACTGTCATTCTCTTTTTTACTCTTCATTTAGACTATAAGTAACATAAGGGTGAGGGTTGTACCCTAAATTTCCTTTGTTTATATTTTAGCACTGGAGGCATACCATCTAGACACTTAAAAAGTATTTTCTGGTTAATTAGTCAGAGCTCTCACAATACAAAGTAACTTCTGCCTCTTAGTAAAAATAACTGTAATGATAGCCAAGATATATGCACCAGACATTGTTGTACGTTGTCTGTATTGATATTTATACACTAAGTGCTTTTGAGGACTCTCGGAAGTGGTTAGTCTCTCCATTTTACAAATGAGGAAACTGAAGCACAGAGTAGCTAAGTGACTTATCCAAGATCACACAGCTGAAACATGTTTGAGTGGGGATATAAGTCTGCATAGTCTGACTAGAGAACCATTACATATCCTGCCCCATCTAAGTCCCAGATTTCGGTTTCAGATTCTCCTTCTGAGAAGTCCCACTACCAGTTCCTAAGAAAAAAATGTTCAAATTTATTTTTCACATAATCCACAGTAAGAACCCTATTTTGCATCCTAGCCCAGGCACAAACATACACTGAAACAAATATTTCTGGAAAAAAACAAAAACAAAAACCTGTCCTTACACAGGATTTATTGCTATTTTTATATTTCATTCCATTCTAGTTCATTTTCTAAATGAGGATCATACTCTACTAAATTGATTTTATGACCCAAACTATTGTGACCTTCTGTTTGAAAAACTGCTGACAGCATCATATCACTAAATTCCTGAGTGGTGTGTTTTCTGGCCTCCCACACAGAAATGGTCTTTATCTTCTGGGGACCACAGTCCACTGGCAAGATTCTGAGATAAGTAGGTCAGTAACTTCTAGAGGGAGGACTATTCCCTATGATGGGAAATCTCAGGAAAGGCCTCTCAAGAGACCGGCAAGCCTCCAAAGAGGAGGCAGACTTCAAAAGGCAATGATATCCCAGGCAGGGAAACTCAGACAGAATGTGTTCCAAGCACAGAACTGGAATGAGGCTGCAGACAAAGACTTGTGAGGCAACGTGAGACAGACCTGACAGTCTCTCTTTATGACTCATGGACCTTGTGAACATCAACCTCTTACAGCAGCAAGATTCTCACTGGTGAACGGGGATGGGAATAACGTCTGCCTCACTTCCCAAAGAAGCCAGCTCTGAAGAGGACATCAAACAACATCTGAAAACCCACTGAGAAGTAAGCACACTGAACTGATGGGGAGGCGATTCATTAAGGGAATCCTCTGTGCTGTTCCAACCAGCACGTATTTCTCACAATAACACAGTGATGTCCACACTGCTATTATCCCCCTTACATAGATAAGGAAAGTGAAACTCAAAGAGGATACTGGGCTTGCCCAAGGTCACCCAGCTAGTGAAAGGCAGAGACAGAACTCAAACCAGACCTCCCTGCCTAAACACTTCCCTCACCCGCTCTACAAGTGAGGTGAGGTGTCCCACCATTAAATAATGGTGGGACAGGCTGGGACCTGAAACCTGGGACTCTTTGTTGCAGTGCTTGCAACTGGACAAAGGCCTCCTCCAGCAACGGAATACAAAGAAACTATAAGGGACTAAAAATAGCTGGGTGTATGAGTAGTTGGGGCAAATTATGAACAGTAAGATACAAAAAGACCAAAAAGCCCAACTTCCACTTCTGAAGGCCTGGAGCAAAAGAAGGGCGCTGAGCATGCCCCCAGCACACATCACTACCAAAGGGGTGGGCAAACCGCCTAAGGAAGCCACTTCTCCAACCCAATCCCTGGCCTGGCCCTACCTTCACCCCATATAGGGAAACAGCTAAACTGTTACTTGTTCTCACTCACCCCCAACCCCCGAAATGCAGGAGACCTGGGTTCAATTCCTGGGTCCAGAAGATCCCCTGGAGGAGGAAATGGCAACCCACTCCAGTATTGTTGCCTGGAAAATTCCATGGACAGAGGGGCCTGGCAGACTATAGTGTGGGGCTGCAAGAGTAGGACATGAATGAGCAGCTAAACAACAGTAGATTATCGAGTGCCTGCAGTTTGCTGAGCACCCTTGAATTTCTTGTCTGGCCTCTAATCAATTTTTATTGATTAAGGAGGCCAAGAACCCCAGTCAGTAACAGTGGGGAAGTAGGGGAGACTGTTAAAGGGTAAGGGTGAGGCAGTAAATGAGTGAGCACAGAAACATCTAGAAAGCAGAGTTGGCACCAGAACAGCGAGTCCTTGAATGTCTGCAGTGTTAGGGCCTCATTCTGGATGCAATAAAGGTTTCAGAGCAGATTCTGCTGAGACCTCATCTGTGATTCAGAAAGATAGATCAGACAGTAAGTACTGTCTGAGAGGCAAAGATTGCCACCTGGTAGACAACCCAGTCACCTGATTAGTCACGGTGCTCACAGGTAGCTTTGCAAAACGAGGACCCTTAGCCCTCGCTTGCTGTCTTTAGATAAAAACAAAACCAAATCACTGGCATATAGCCTGGAAACTTGATATAAGTTGATGTGAGTCCCAGCACATATCAGTGGTACTGAATTTATTGAATGACTGGAAACACAGTACCTTAGCACTGGGCATTAGCAAGCGGCTGAGGAAAGATGGAAGATCTTTCTTAATGGGTAAAAAAAAAACCACAAGAATTAAAAAGAAGCACCTCCTCAAGAGGGAGGGGATATATGTACACATAATAGCTGTTTCCAGTTGTATAGCAGAAGTTAGCACAACATTGTAAAGCAATTATACTCCAGTTAAAAATAAAATAAAAAAAGATAATAAATAAAATAAAATAAAAGAAATACTTCATTCCAGGAGATTTCTTTTCAAAGAAATGATGTCAAGATTGTTATTCATCCATTTATATTTATACTGAAATAAAAAGTGTTGATTGTCTTTCTGACACCCTGTTGCAGTTTTTCTTAACGGATCATGTTTGAGCCTAATAAATAAAATCAACCACAACAAAGGGCATTTGTTTCTCTGATGAGAATTTTAAAGAAATGTGCTTTTGCTGTGCTTTGCAGCAGAAGATGGGGTATGTTTTTTAGAAGGCATTTTTTATTCCGTTGAAATAAGAAAATCAAGAAATGGTTTTTGCCATACTATTCTTAGAAATCAAAACCAGAAAGTTACCTAAATGTCCATTTACCAAGAATGGATAACTACATGGTGGAATACTCACACAACAGACTATTGTAATGAAAATGAATAATCTAGGACAACATTCAACAATATGGATGAATCATATGTAATGTAATGTTGAGTAGAAGAAGCTGGGAAAAAACTGTACCGACTATAAGATTCCATTCATATAAAGTACAAACGCAGGTACAGTGAATCCCCGCTGTTACAAGTCAGAATAGTGGTGACCTGGGAGGGTAGCCAGTGACTAGACAAAAGCATGCGGGGGACCCCCTGGGGTGATGGTATCTTCTGTTTCTTGATCTGGGTGTTGTACATGGAAGTATTCAGTTCACTAAAATCCACTGATTGCATATCTATGATATGAGTACTTCTAAGTATGTATATTATACTTCAGTAAAATTTTTAAGTTAAAAAAAAGAAGTGGCTTTTGTTCACAAGACTTCCTATCAGCTGTTTGTTCCCCTGAGTGTCTGGGAAGGACAGTCTTGCTTTCTAAAGCAGTGACTAAAATGTCAGAAATCTAACCATTCAGTGGACTGTGGACACTGGAGAAGCCGGCCACCCTGGTGGAGTGCAGGGGCAGTGCAAGGTGACAGAAAGAGCCGGAAACGTGAAGCAGAAGCCCAAGATCCCAGCCCTGCCTCCACTGTTAGCTGGGGTGACTTAGGAAGTCACCAGAATCTCTGGTCCCTTTTGCTCATCTGTAAAGTGAAGGCCCCAGCATTTATTTTCCCCAAGGCCTTTCCGGCTGTAACACGCTGTGGTCTTTCCCTGACTAAGGACACAGGATTCAAGGTGAGGCCAGCCTGCTCCTTGGCCTGAAATGCAGAGAGGCTCCTGAAATAGAGAGAGGCTCCTGTTAACCACAGCCGGGCACTGAGCTCACCTGTACCTGAAGCAGCTTAGCTTGGAGCCCAGCAATTCCACTCACCGCCTGAAGCACAATAGAATCCCTCTCTTCAGGCTGTTCTGATGCTAAGTGACCCATTCATGAATGGTGCCTGAGAGCAAGTGTGCCCTCCATAAAAACATTAGCTCCCAGATATCTCAGACCTCCCAGAGGTCTGAGCCCTTACACAATAACCCCATGAAATGGGTCCTACTGCTATCCGCATTTTAAAGATGAGGGATTGGGAGGCTGAGAGAGGTTCAAAAGTTGCCTGAAGTCATCTGGTTCTTAAGCGGCAGAGCCCAGACCCAAACCCAGGCAGCTTGAGCCCAATCCCAATCTTTCTTCCTCTGAATTCTTTATCTCTATGGAAGCTACAGGTGCATTTTGTCAGCCCTTGTGGACCACGGGGCTCAGCTAGGTACGCCAAGGCACTTCACCACTGATGTTTTTCTACCCAGGAGTTCCAATAGCTGTGGAGTGAAAATTAGCAGGATCATCCAAGTTTCCCTTACATATGTTTCCCAAACAAGGTCACAGTATCTACTGGGACCTACTCTTCATTCTTTGCTCCTTTCCACCTACCTGTTCTCTTTCTCAGTAACATAAGATGAGGATGAATAACCAACAAGCTCACATATGTGGCATCTTAAAAAACAAGCTCACAGATACAGAGAACAGATTGGTGGTTGACAGAGGTGGTGGCGGGGGGCGCAAAATGGGTAGATGGAGTCAAAAGGTACAAGCTTATTATAAGATAAATAAGTCCTAGAGATGCAATGTACGTCATGGTGATTATAATTCATAATACTGTATCCCATATTTGAAAGTTGCTAAGAGAGTATAGCCTAAAATTTCTCATCAGGTGAAAATAAAAACTTACTATGTATAACGATGGACATTAACCATGCACTGCTATTAATCTGTTAATATTTATACTGTGGTGATCACTTCACAATATTATACAAAATCGAATCATTACATTATATACCTGAAACTAATGTTATATGCCAACTACATAATTAAAAAAGAATAAAAACAGAATGTGCTTTGAAAAGGTAAAGTGCTATGATGGTGAACTCCATTTTAAAAATTCACTAAACTATATATATATGTATATATATATAAACCGAACCTAAAAAAAACAAGATAAATTAAAGGATTATGAGTTTTCATCATAGATTCTCTTTCCAAAAAGAGTCACCACCACACTTTTTAGAAATTCCCCTATTGCAGTTAACTTTTTAAAAAACTAATTCATTTAGAAATGTTTAAGAGCTCATGTGTTGCTATTGTTCTTTTCTGCTTTTCCCTCCAGATTCATTCTGGATATCACTTTATAAAACAGATATGAGATTCTCAGAACTGAAGGTGTCTTCTGTATTACTTGTTTTTCTTTGTAATATTTACTTCTAAGCCCCACTTCCAGCTTCCTCAAACCAACTAAAGATAAAGGGTTGCATAATCTTTGTTCTGGCTTCCCTGGTAACTCAGACTATAAAGAAACCGCCTGCAATGCAGGAGACTCGGGTTTGATCCCTGGGTTGGGAAGATCTCCTGGAGAAGTGAATGGCAACCCACTCCAGTGTTCTTGCCTAGAGAATTCCATGGACAGAGGAGGCTGGTGGGCTACAATCCATGGAATTGCCAAGAGTCGAACACAATTGATCGACTAACACTTTCGCTTTCACTCTTTGTTGAAATCTCCGTCAGTTTGGGGACTGACCCTTCTTGAATCTCTCTGAAGAAAAACATGTGCTCAAGAAGTTGGAGAGGGGAGATGTAGTATACCTTGTTAGTGTTCGGTGAGAAAGTCACTTTTGAAGTCTCAGTGCTGACCTTCGCCCTGGGTCTATGACCTTGAGTTCATGGTAGAGAGATGCTAGTGATGTGCCTTCCTTCTATCTCCCCAGAACCCCCACTTTGGACATGGAGGTGGAGATTCAAGTGAACCAACAGACAGATCCATCACGGGAGCATATTTCTGGCCAAAATAAGTGAAGCAATGAGGGTCACTGAGCAAGTTCACTTGGGACATGACCTTGGATAGATCCCACCTACTCTCTTCCAACCTTTATCAAAATGATACTCAATTCAAACAGGCTGTGCTTTATGTTCATAACGTCCATGGGCAGGCAAAATGGAGCAGTAGCAAGCCAGAGATCTGGGAGACCCTGGAGCTGGCAGCATGAGCATGAGCCTAAGTAGAGCAAGGATAAATCATTAGCAACTCTGTCTCCAGAGAATCGATGCCACCATTAGGCAAGAGACCAAGGTCATAGTCTCTACATGTAACCCGCCAACTTTCTAACACACCTATGAAAAGGCAAATAGAAATGAAGAGTTCAGCGCAGTTCGTATGTAACAGTGAAAAAGATTTCAACTCAACCCCAAGTCAACCCTACCTCTGATATTCAGGGCTTCGGACTTTTTCTCCTTTTTCATCGTCTCTTCTGGCTCATTCTGGGTGTTCAGGGAATCACCTGCATTCAAAGAAGAAACCTCGTGTTGTGTATAAGTTCTACAAGCAAAAAGAATGGACTCAAAATACAGTTTTGTTATTTTCAAATCCTACTACCTTCCCAGATTCCCGCCTCTCCAAACACGCAGCCCAGGGAAGCAATTTTGGCCTTCAAATGAGCCTTGGAACTGGCCGCTGGACTTCATTCACACTCCCATGCGAGTTAAAGTTAAAAAAAAAAAAAAAAAAGAGGCATGGGAACCCATCCTCATCCCCCCCAAATCTTTAACTCGCAAGGGGACTGAAGGATGCGCAAAGCGGGAGGACGAACAAGGTACAGATAGCGTATAATGGAGGGGGAGGGGTGTTATCTGTTGCCCAATAAAAATAACTGATCTCCAAGGAAATCAATACTCCTATACTAGGAGACTCCTATACAAGGGGGAGGGGGGAAGAGGGGCCCAAGGATCCAGGAAGAAAAAAAGAAATTGTAGGAATATGTTCAGCTAGCGGCAGAGACCTAAAGCCGGCCTGCAGTGGAAATCGATTACTTTGAAGCAGGCAGGTATAGAAGAGGGCGAGGAGGAAGGGACCGCGCGGGAGGAGGGAACGGCAACGCGGGCCAGAGGATGCAACCGAAAGGCACCTGCTACGTTTGAGAACACGGTAGCCCCCTTCTCATCCTTCCTGTCCACCGAGGCCGCGCGGAGGGTCACGGCCGAGTCGCGGCCGGGGGCGGGCAGGGCGCCGGAGTGCCAGCCACACTCGGCGCCTTGAGGATCCCCGAAAGCGCCGCGGGTGCCGCCCCCGGCCGCGGGCTGCGGGTGCTGCTGCTGCTGCTGGCGGCGGCGGCGGCGGCGGCCGCAGCAGGCGAACCAGGCGGCGCAGTCCTGGAAGATGAGCAGCCCCACCACGTTGACCGCCAGCCCCAGGGCGCCCACGATGAGCACCAGCTCGGGGTCATCGATGCGCTCGGGCCGGGCCAGGCGCAGCACGGCCTCCACGAAGATGGTGAAGCAGAGCGCGGTGAGGAAGACGGCGTTGCTGAGCGCGCCCACCACCTCGGCGCGGGCGTAGCCGTAGGTGGCGCCCAGCCCCCCGCGGGGGCGCCGGGCGATGTAGCCGGCGCTCAGCCCCACGCACAGCGAGATCAGGTCCGAGAGCATGTTGAAGGAGTCGGACAGAAGCGCGATGGAATTGCCCAGGTAGCCCGACACCAGCTCCGCCACGAAGAAGGCGACGGTGAGCACCAGCATGAATAGCAGGCGACACGTCTTGCCGGAGTAGCGGCCCATTCCGGCCCGGCCGGACGCCCCGCGCCGCCGCCGCCGCCGCCGCCGCCGCCACAGGTGGGGCGCGGCGTCCTGGACTCCGCGGTGCCCCGGTCCCCGCCTCCCGGGCCGCCCTGCCCGCCGGCGCCCTGGGCTTCTTATAAGGCGGAGGCGGAGGCCAGCGGCCCCAGTCCTTGCACGTTCAGAGTCTAAAGGAGGGGCCGGGCGGGACCTTCCGCCGCCTCCCCGGCCCCTGCCCCTCCCTCGCAGCTCGGCCTCACTTGGCACGTGGCCACCGGCCAGTGTCTGTGCGCCTAAGAACGGAAGTGGGCAGAGAGGGGGGCTGCCCGAAAGAGGGGGCGTGCCTGCGCGGCGCTCGTCACAGACACCCCCTAAGCAGCGGTGGGGTTCACCCGACGACCCGCTTCTGCAGCCCCTCGGGTCACGCGGGCCGTGGCTGTTGACTCAAAGATAAGGACCTTGCTGCTGCGGGGTGTGTTGGCAGTGGTGGACGTGAACACCTTCGCGTACGTGCCCAGACACCAATTCATTCCCCACTGACCCGGGAGCGCCGACCTGTCCCCCACTGCCCTGCTCGTGTTTCCTGCCTTGCATTGCTGAAGTTTGAGCTGAGTCGGAGCTCCCACTCCACTACCGTGGTAGAGCTATTTTATTCCTCTCTTCTTGTTCACAGACCTCTTAAAGGACACGTTGTCCCTTCTGTCACCCCTTCATGACCCAGCATCCGTCCCTGTCACCCTTGAGGATCTTGGCTCACAGGATGAGAGCGCAGATCAGACTTCTGTGCGTCCCGCCCTCCCACCCAGCGCTCAGAAAGGCAGTGTCTTTGTCGTAGGCCACCAAAGAAGCCAAGGTCAGCACCCTCTGTGTTCTTGTCTTGTTCAACGTTGGAGAAAGTATCTCCTCACCCCTGATACTCAAGAGTTCAGTGACTGACCTACATGAAGACTTATTCCAAATAGAGCCTTTCTGTTGACAACAGGTCCAAGTGAACAGAACCCAGAGGAGAGCTGTCTCTTGGACTCCGGGAGAAAACAAGGATGGGTGTCCTGGAAAAAGGGTGTTTGCTCCTGGTCAGTTCAGGGAGTGGGGTAGGGGAGCCCTTGCAGGTTTCTTTTGTTTCAATGTTATACCCTTCTCTCCTTCAGAAAAAGATCTGAGGGTGAAGTCTGATGATCGCTCTTGTCCCTCCCCCATTCCGCAACGCCTGAACTTTAACCATTGATAAACACACACACACATCTGGTTTTGGCTTGGAAATGAATAAAAATGGCTCACTCCAAAAAAGCCACAGAATCCATTCACGGAACATTCTAATCCTAGTTCCATCCATTGCCCTAGCCTTGTAAATCATGATCTTGCCTTTTAATGGTCCCTGAGGGTCCTTAAAAATCATGCAGAAACCTCCTGAATCTGAGCGTCCCACCTAATATCAGGTGAGCCTCGAAATTCTAAATTCAGGGAGACTATTATGCATTCCTTTCCCACCTCCAGGAAAATATCATTACATTGAGAACTGAGGAAATTGATCTTTCAAAGTCTTCTCTAAAAATTAATATTAAAATGATCAAAAACTTAAAAGCAGTAAGGAGATACAGGCCAATGAAAGTTTTGAAGCTGAGTGGCCTCACACAAGTTCTTTAACTGTCCGGGCTAGTTTTAACTACTGTAAAGAGGGAATAATAATAGTGTATTCTCATAGGGTTATGGGGATTGAATGGGTTAGTAGGTATAAAGTGACTATAATAGTGATAATGTAACATTATAATAGCAAGCAGTCAATAAATGTTAGTTACTAATTTAAAAAAAAAAAGGAAGAAAAAGAAGGTGTGGAGTGAGGAAGAAGAGACTGGGCAAAGGATGCAAGAGTGAAGAGATCCAGAGGGCCACACTAGTTCAGTTCAGTTTGGTGGCTCAGTCCTCTCCAACTCTTTGTGACCCCATGGACTGCAGTACACCAGGCTTCCCTGTCCATCACCAGCTCCCTGAGCATGCTCAAACACATGTCCATCAAGTTGGTGATACCATCCAGCCATCTTATCCTACCTATGTTGTCCCCTTCTCCTCCTGCCTTCAATCTTTCCCAGCATCAGGGTCGTTTCCAATGAATCAGTTCTTCATATCAGGTGGCCAAAGTATTGGAGTTTCAGCTTCAGCATCAGTCCTTCCAATGAATATTCAGGACTGATCTCCTTTAGGATTGACTGCTTGGATCTCCTTGCAATCCAAAGCACTCTTGAGAGTCTTGACCAACACCACAGTTCAAAAGCATCAATTCTTCAGGGCTCAGCTTTCTTTATAGTCCAACTCTCACATCCATCATGATTCCTAGAAAAATCATAGCTTTGACTAGACGGACCTTTGTCAACGAAGTAATGTCTCTGCTTTTTAATATGCTGTCTAGGTGTGTCATAGTTTTTCTTCCAAGCAAGCAAACTTTTCTTCCAAGTCTTTTAATTTCATGGCTTGCAGTCACCATCTGCAGTGATTTTAGAGCCCAAAAATATAGTCTGTCACTGTTTCCACTCTTTCCCCATCTATTTGCCATGAAGTGATGGGACCTGATGCCATGATCTTAGTTTTTTGAATGTTGGGTTTTAAGCCAGCTTTTTCACTCTCCTCTTTCACTTTCATCAAGAGGCTCTTTAGTTCTTCTTCACTTTCTGCCATAAGGGTGGTGTCATCTGCATATCTGAGGTTATTGATATTTCTCCTGGCCATCTTGATTCCAGCTTGTGCTTCATCCAGCCCAGCATTTCACATGATGTACTCTGCATGTAAGTTACATAAACAGGGGGACAATATCCAGCCTTAACGTTCTCCTTTCCCATTTTGGAACCAGTCTGTTGTTCCGTGTCTGGTTCTAACTGCTGCTTCTTGACCTGGTACAGATTTCTCAGGAGGCAGGTCAGGTGGTCTGGTATTCCCATCTCTTTAAAAACTTTCCACAGTTTGTTGTGATCACATAGTGAAAGGCTTTGGCATAGTCAATAAAGCAGAAATAGAAGTTTTTCTGGAACTCTCTTGCTTTTTAAATGATCCAGTGGATGTTGGCAATTTGATCTCTGGTTCCTCTGCCTTTCCTAAATCTAGCTTGAAGGAGTTCACGGTTCACGTACTGTTGAAGCCTGGCTTGGAGAATTTTGAGCATATTCTCATATGAGAATTGAGAGTATATTTGCATAGGTATTAGTAATACAGCACATATAACAGAATTACTAACTGAGGCATACTCTAATGCAAGAAGAGTGATGCCCAAGTAGTGCAGACTATGAACCCCCTGAGGCATGTAATCTATGAGAGCAAGCCAAGCAGTCCCCACAAAAGAAAGCAGCCTTTTGGAGATAACTTGACAGTGCTAACACAGACCCCAGTGACTGCACTCCTCTGTCATTCACAACTGCAAGAAAAACCTTAGAGCAACAGGACTATATCATTCGTGCCTATTGCCCAGTCATTCCCCTAACCAAAGGCAGATAAGAAGAATTATGTCATTGCCCCAGAGGGCAGTTGATGGAACCTGAAAGCCAGCGACTGAGTAAGCATAGGCGGGAGCTGTACTGCCCTGCCCAGGGCCTAGTTCCTGACTTGAATAACGGCTAAAGGCTAAGGGTATCAAGCAAAAGCACTTAGGAAAATGTTTTGACTAAATAACCATAACTACATATGTATATGCATGCATTTGTATATATACACATATAGTTGTGTGTACATATATATATTGTGTTGT